CTTCCTGCTCTTTTGCATTTGATGAAGAAAATGAAACTTATTTAGATTTGAAGCTTTCGTAGCAGTTCACAGTTTGAGAACTGTGATGACCTTGTATTTGAGGTGGCTGTGGAGGCCTTAGGCCTATAAATAACCTGTAAATAACCCACTTCTAGTGGGAATTGACCCCCCAAATCCATTTTCAGGGGAGAGGTCCATACACAGTGGTATCTGAGCCACGTGATGGTCCCAAGTCTGGAGTACTTGATGAAACCTCTGTTGGAACCAGGTGGATATGGGAAGGAGTCTTTGTGGCCAGAGGAACTGCGTTTGGTGAGGAAAGCAAAGTGGAGTTGATTCCCAAATGACCCTGGCAAATGGTTCTGCTTGTGTCCTCCAAGTGTAATTGAGAACTGCTTGCAAAGCTCCAGATGAACTGTAGCGCGCACACACACAAAAATGGAATATATGGCACCTCCTCATAAAATTCAGCCTCTATCTTTGAATGTAGAGGAATGTAGAWCCTTTGTCACATCTCCCACCTGATCAGGAGGTGCATTGCCTTGTCATTTTGAAACTACTCCTTGCACAGCATAGCCCTACATGGCAACGGTGTCCATGTGGTTAGAGAGCTGGCATTAATGCATCAGTCCATGTCCTCAAATGCACGAGATGCCCAGTGGAGCAGTGCACCTAATGCTGGAAATGAACTCAGGCAAGTTAGTAGTTTGGTCTCGTCATCCTCATTAGCCATTTCAGCAGCAGATTCAGCAGCTTCATCAATTGTGTGCTTTGCTCTAGGTTTTCTTGAGGCTTAAATTCAGGTCTGCTTGTGGTAGACAAAGGGAGATTTCCCTGAAGACAGTGGTGGCAGGGCTGGAAACAGCACTAAGGGTTCCCATCGCAGGGATTTACTTTCCAGTCAGCACCSGCTTTTTGCTTAATGCATTTATTGTGTGTATTTTTACAACAAATCCTGTTTATGTCAATAAAACTGCTCAAACATTTGTGTCTTTACAGACATAGCAACCTTATTTTCTGTGAAATGTTAGAATCGTTCTCTTGGCAAATATTGATTGAGGAGGGAATTTAAGGGACAGAGGAAGATAGTGTATTTAAAAAAAAAAAAAGTTTATTACAGTCTTGGTAAGAAAAATATATAGTAATACACATCAAAAGGAGCCAACTGATGGTATTATTTAAAAACAACTTAATTATCAACCAGCTGGGCAGATGGGAAGATTGGAAAGTGACATGGAATAAAATGGGACATGTGGCCTTGGCTGGCAGCAAAGTAGATTGGCATTGCTTTGTGAAATATGAACGGAGAATTTATAAGGAGTTATTGATGCTGTTGCTTGCAAAATGCATGTGATTGAAGGTATTTGTTCAGAATGTGTTTGTAGCTTGATTCACAAATAAAAACAGCTTGGTTTTGAGCTTAAAATGTTCCAACAGTTTTAGTAAATCTGCATTCATCTCTGCCATGCTTGAAATGAGTTGCAGTTCTTTGCACCAAGTGTGCCTTGTGCATAGCATTAAATAAACTGCAAAGTAAAACCACGGCCTGAGGAGACTGTAGCAAGGGAGAGGTCGAGCTCTCTGACTAGAGGGCTCTGCCCTTGCTGCTCTCCGGCCCTGTAAGTTTTGGACTCTGTGGCTGAGCTGGGTTTAACAGAGTCAGTCAGGATTCTGGGGCAGCGAGTTGCTGGTTGGGTGGAAACGGGCAGGAAGGTGCAGAAGAGCTGCAGCGCTTGTGCTGTGATGCTGCCTGTGTTGTGCTGTGAGGCTGCTCCTCAGCAAGAGACTGCATCTCCCAATCCTTGGGTCTTCTGGACCAAGTCTGCGGGCCTGTTTGCATCCTGCCAGGACAGCCCCCACGGGAAACCCTTCCCACGGGAAACCCTTCCCACGGGAAACCCTTCCCACTCGGCCCCTGTGTGCTTGGTGTTCTGCAGAGCCAAGTCCTCACACACGTTTGTGCCAACAAGGCGTTTGCATGAACACCTGCTGAAAACAAGGACGAGCTGTTTTACTCCACAAACATTTTGTTTCTTTTGGTGGAGTTAGTTTTTCTTTGCTATAAGTGGAAGGATTAAATTAATCAAGAGAACATGCAATTAATGCCAGTGAGCTAAGACAAATGGCTTCCAAAATTTGCATTGAAACTTTTGCCTGTGTCATTATAGTGCCATTAGAAGCCGGTTGAGTGTGTTTTGTCCAGAGCACCATTTCAGCCTTACAGGGGTTTGATATTAAAGGGCAACCGTCTAAGTAACACCAGAGAATCAGACAAGACTGGCTTTTTGTGTTCTGCAGTGAGCACGGTCTGGAATTGTCTTCAGCTTGTGCCCTGCCTGCGCTCTTTGATTAATGAGAACTTCCATGGCATCAGTTACCCTGCCAATATGCTGGAGAAAAAAAAAAAAAAAAAAAAAAAAGGCTAACAAATCTCACTGTAATTGCTTGTTTCTTTAATAAAACAATACAGGAAGGGAGAAAAAAAATATTTGACAAGATCTACTTGGGGAAAAAGGTTCTGAATAAGACAAGTCTGTGAGAAAATGCACGCAGTGAGTTGGCTCTCTCCTCAGGAGGGTAGTTTCTCCACACGTAGTGTTGAAAAAGGGAAAAAATCTKCACCCTTTTTTGTGCTACAAGAAAGCCTCAGGCGTGTGAAGAGAAGGCAGAGAGGAAGCAGCAGCGTGATCCTAGGACTGCAGATGCTGCAGGAATTCTGCTCTGGAGCTTCACGGTCCTTCTCGCCAGAAAGATGCGCTTCCTCGTGTGGCCCGTGCCGCTTCCCCATTGCGGGCTGACCTGGTGATTTCTCGTCCCTTCCTCTGTGGACACAGAACACCTTTCTCTCCRTTTTCCTCTTTCTTATTTTTTCATAGTTCCTACACTTGATCTTGCAAAGGTTTAGCTTGATGTTTTCTTGGGATGGTGCTTCAGGAGCGTCGGTTTGGTCCTTAYGGACTCTTGTCATTGTAGCTACATATGGCGAGGAGAGCGGTTCATTTGGGGGGGTGGTTCTTTAACAGGTGCCTTGAAATTGCGTGCAGGGACGAGGCAGTGAAGTATGATGCAGTGTAATTTAATGCTGGGTTAAATGATGCAATCCAGTGCGTTTCCATTAGATGTTCCGAGACACTTCTCTAGCATTTATGCTTTAAATGCTGTTGGATTGCCAGCTGCAATAACTATTTTGATTGCAGTCTGAGCTGATGGTGGGCATCCTACCAGAAAAATAATGTGTTCTGTTTTAATTATGACACCTGCACTCCAAAATGGAAGCCTGCGTCACTSTACATGATACAGTTGTACTTGCTATAGTGCAAGAGCATAATGTGCAAYGCAGGGAGGTGAGCACGTCTGCAGAAGGGCCAGGCTTGGGGCGGCTCTCTGCCAAAGAAAAGATATATGGAGAGTATAGGATTCCTGTAGCAGGGTGTTTGGGGGTTTGTATCTTGTTTTTGCCATACTGTGATGCAAGGACAACTCATGGAGCAGTATTTCTGGCACTGGTTTAGCTTGGCTCATCGCAGTGATAGCAGAGATAGGCGAGTGCAGAACATATTGAAACTCTTAGTCATTGTTGGCCCYGAGCAGCGTAAGGGGGCGACTTGTGTGCACTCCGTCTCAAATGGGCAATCAGCAGCCTCGTCGTATGGCAGAGAGCCCCCTCAGTTACTGCTTSCACATTTTGGTTTTGGGACAGTTAACAGGCGCTGTGGGTGAATCCTGTCCTTGGCAATGGCAGGCGAGAATTTAACATGAATGGCCTAAAAAAAAAAAAAAATTCTTTATGTAAATCTGTTATGTAAATCACCTTAGCCAAGTGCAAGGCGAAGGATTATAAGTTATAAAACTGTAATTGTTTGTCAGGAATGTGCATTAGCTGTTCTTGGGCTGTGTCAATATACTATCGGGGATTTAGTGTCTGGGATCCTATATCGCCAGCTTAAAAATATAACCAAACAAAATTAACACTTGCCATTTAGCTCTGAGAGTTGGTTTGCAAGGGAGAAGGGGGGAGAAAAGTCAGCCACTGGTGTCTGAGTCTCAGGAATGTTGTCTTTGTCCGTGTCCTGGGCTTGTCRTCCCTTTCTGCAGCTGGGTTCTTGCACTTGTTTGCGGGCAGGTCTCTGTGTGCTCTCGCCGCAGCCCATCTACTGGGCCACATCGTGTGGAGAAGCAGGGGCTTTGCTTGTCCCAACAAGAAAGGAGGGACGGGTGATCGCAGCCTTCCCTGCGGCGCGTGCGGACACGGAGGATGAAAGCGCTCCTCTGGGCTGGTTCCCTTAGGCTCAGTGCAACAAGGGGGGGGAAGATTCCCAGGACCTTAATTCAAACCTTTTCCTTTACATAACCACAGAGCAAATACTCTTTGAAGACAGATGCCCTGATAGTCTTCAATTAATTGGTAGTATCAATTTTATTGCCTGCTCACTTCTGCTATTTTAGATTGAGTATTCARTTTAACGTAGTTTATATAATGATGGAGACCTTCATCTAATGCCTTTACTCCAAGGATTTCAGAATGTGAACTCAGACCTCAAATGTTGCTCCCGTGTGGATAGGTGAAGTTGTTCCAGCTGGGGGCTGCTCGGAGCCCCCGGGGCTGGTAGAGCCGGGCTCCGCAGGCTGCGCTGCTCTGCTCTGCTCTGCTCTGCTTGCTGCGAGCGCCCAGGGCAGCGGGCCCTGCGGAGCACCCAGGCTGCTGGTGCATGGTGTGAGGCAGAGCATGGCTGAACACGGGATCACTGAAGAAATGGATTAATAGACACGCTGGTAAATGGGGAGGTGTTAAAAGCCTTGCTCTGGGTGATGCAAGCAGTGAGGATGGTTTGTCCAGCGCTAGCTGAACAGTTCTTGAAGTCAAACTGTTGTGGTCTGTGTTGCTTTTTCAAGTTCCGATGCTCCSCCTTAGGCTGTGGTGTGTTGGCCGCAGTGGCTCCGCTCTGCAGCTTTTCTGTGTAATTGGCCACGGGCATAACCCTCCTCTTGGTTTCTTTCAGGTTAACTGGCTTCCAGCTGCCGGCTCCTGTTGTGAGTACCGGGATGGTGCTGTCCCTGTGGCTTGTGAGCGATTACGCAGTCAGTGCTCAAGGCTTCCAGGCRAGCTACGAAGGTAAGTGTGCCCTGTTTGGTAATTGTAGCTTGGATCTTCTCTGTGTCTGAGTTACAGCAGGATGTGAGCAAGTTCTTTAGTCAGAAAGAATCATATGTGATGGCGTGGTAGCTTCAGGAAGCCTTGTCTTGCAGCTCCAGTTCTTGGCCGTGACCTCCGAGGACAGATGTCAACTTGCATACCACAGTGCAGGAATGTTCAGTGGCACATGGCACCCTGCTTTTGCACTTCCTGGGGTGTTACTGTTGGTTCTGGTGATGATAACTTARTACGTGTAATGCCTGCCACCAGGAGCCTTCATGAGGCTCAGCCAAAGAGTGCCTGCTTTCAGCAGTTAATTCACTGCAGCTCTCTTCCATATGAAGGTCGTTGCTCTGTCTCTTTGCATGGCTTTTCCATGTTCTGTCTTATCTGGAGACTCACTTCATTATATTTTGGATATGTGTTTTTTTAATCACAGGGATCTCAGCTATGCAGTCCTTTTGCCATTCATTATGAGCATTAGAAGTTATTTTATTATTACTAATTACAGTAATAAARGAATTACGGGAAAATACAATCAGCATTTGTAGACTAGAGTGCATTCTGACTGAACTTTGACTGGAGGTGTTTGGTCTGCTGTAGAAGCTAAATGCAATGTAAATCTTCAGGGTAGACAAGCACACGTTCACTAAAGCAGCAGGTAGGTRTGTCTGCCATAGGAGAGTGGTGAGTTCTGCTGTGAGGCCAGGTGTGCAGAACATCTGGAACGCATTAGAGAGGAGTCCCCCTCCCCAAATAGACTTTTCTCCTTTAAAAAAGTGACAGCTCAAAATCCTGTTACTGAATCATCATCTCCTGAGGGATACTTCGGAGGGAAGGAGAGCTGTTGCCATAACAAGAAGACACAAAAGACTTTAAGGACGCTGTGTTTCARGAAGGGAAGTGATGTTCAGTGCAATTAGATAATATATTTGAAAGCATAAATCATGCCATCTTGTGCTATTTTTTTCTGTATTTTGGATTGACTTTGCTCTGTCTGGAAGGGAAAAAAAAAAAGCTGAGAGAAGGGGGGAAAATACAGCTGTGTGAGTAGCCCAGGATACGCCAGAGATCCCAAAGGGGTAATGGAGTGCGTCCTCGAAAGGATAATGTGCTCAAAACTTAACCTGAGTGATAGGGAGCGTTGCTGTAAATTAAGCTGTGGATGGGCTGGTGCTCTGAGCCCTCCTCAACACACGCTGCTGTTCGGACTATTGTTAGTTAAGAGCAGGGGAGGAGGTAACTGCTTTTGATCAAAGGGAGCACACTGTTGCTGTAATGCTGTTTCAGTTCGTTAGCAATCTGCAACTTGGTGAATAGCTTGTGATTTGATAATTCACGTTTAAAGGCAGAGCAGTGCATCAGAGCCCTTGCTGTAAATGGCTCCTTTACGATCGGCTATCAAAGCATGTTTGTTACTCTCCTCCCTCTAAGCAATCAAAGGGAAACGCACCTAAAGAAGCAGTATCTTAAAAGAGAAGCAAAAGAGCTCCAACTTTTTATAAAGGGCAGAAATAGCATACGTGGATGTTCCAAGAATGTTATATTTGCACTGATGTCTACTAGTCAAGATCTCACTAACTTTCCTCCTTAGTATGATACTGCATGATCGAATCCCTTCCAACAAGCAGTTTCCTGCAAAGAAAGCAACACAAATGTTTCCTGCTTGTGCCTTTGTAAATATATGTATTCATTTCTGCTTATATAGACACACACTGATTAAAAAGAAGCACTTGGGTGTTGTGATAGCAGCAAGAAGCATGTACAGCTTTCAGACACTAGTGCAGACAGAGCAGGTGATCACTGGGTCTTTGTTCTTACAYGCACTCATACAGTAAAGCATAAAATAGCCGTGGAAATAAATCATAAAATCATATAATGCAGCTTACTCTTCARCATTGTTTAGATCCTAAACCAATGATCTCCAAGTAATTATTGCTCCACTTAACAGATCAGAGAAATCTAAGCACTTAAACCACTTGGAAAGTGTCCTGGAGGAAAGAAGGGCAAATCCATGAAGTGKAATCCAGAACCCCTTTCATTTAATTGGACTGCTGTGGTGCAAAGGAAAAAAATATTTAAGGGATTCTTTTACTAAATATAAGCAGTGCTTATGAAGCTTCATTTCAAAATGTGTGATTTGGAAAATATTGAAATTACGTATATTCATGCTTACAGCATTCTTAAATTTGTTTTTTTCCTACTAAACTGTCCCCTGAATTCAGCATGATTTCACAATTAGCCTTGTTCACCCTCAGACAGTTGGATTTTATTTTTTGTGTGCGACYAAATTATTCTTTCCCAAAATACCACCCAGCTGCTACAGAGTCTTGCATTTYGACTGCAGGAGAATTTCTAAATGAAGACAGCTATAAATAATCTAAGTTAAAAATTCACTGGGTTGTAGATGGTAACGTTATCTTGTGAAAAATACTCCTTAATTTCGTGTACAAAAATGCCTAATGCTTTTTTGTCGCTTCCCCAAAAGGTATTGGAGAGGCTGATATGAAGGTACGTGCCTGGGACTACATGTGCAGTCAATTGCAATCCCTGCTACTGGGCACTTGGTGAATACATGGGTTGGTGGCATTTGAGATAAATGGAGTACATCTTACAATAAGTGCAAAAATGGTAGACATGTCACATAGTTTTCTCAATAATACCAATAGGGAATAGAAGGTGGGGCTTTTAGMTTCTTAATGTGGATGCAAAATAAACTGATAGTCTTGGTTTTAAACCATTACCCCTTGGCCGCTTTGTGGTGCTTCCTGGAGGTGKGAAAAACCAGCCAGGAAGAATGCTACCCACATGTGCTCTTTAGCACTTAGTTGATGAAAGAAGACATTGCTGTGCAAGACAGGCAAACTTAATGCAGCTGGAGGCTTTGCAGGGCTGTGCGGGGCCTCCTGCACACGACGYGTTCCCCCTTCCCAAAAGCAGCGTTTGCCAGAGCCTGGGCCACGGACGGGGCACGGGCGCTCGTGGCCCCGGGGCGCAGCGGGCTGCAGCGCGGGGGCACTGCACAGGAGGTGAATGTTTCCCTTCCCAAGACATCGGGTGTGATTACAGCTGCGACAAATTTGATAGCTGCAAACACTAAGTGTCTGATTGAAAAGAAACAATTACGCCTCGGAGAACACTGCTCATTTTAAGAAATTAGAAGCGTTTAAATACAGAGGGAAACAACCCCAAGTAAATGGTACTGTTCTCCATAATAAATACCCTCCGCTTTCTCAAGCACAAATATCTCATTCTTCAGAGGGTTCTTTGTGGAGCTTAGATGCGTACTTAGATAAAASAGTTAAAAACCAGTTCTTGCTTGCCTAGCTGCTTTTGCTAAACGCGACCTAAGTCACCTGGTCCGGCTGCTCTGTGGCTGCACTGCTGTGCCAGTGCCTGAACTGCTTCATGGCTCCGTTTCCCAGCTGTTGYTTGACTCTACAGTACTGGTTGCCCTGTTAACACAAGTTAGATGAAACAGTTTGGTTTCTCTTTCTTTGGAAAAGTAGTATTCAAGATTTGCACAAATGATAGCTGTTCRAATCATCAATTGCTGTCAAGACTAGCAGGGATTTTGGGAAAAGGTGTGGGGCATCCACAGAACCTTGCAAATGTAAATTTGGGGGGAAATTTTATTGGGAATGGTTATCCCATTTTGAAAGCAAAATGTAAGAATTTGCATGTCCAAGYCCTTTGTTGTTTGAAAATGGATCATATTATCTTGGAGCTTTTGAAATTTGACTGAAGTCTGCTTGGACTAAAGCTTGGTTCTGGTGATTCAGATAGTAGCRAACTGTTGATTAACCCTTGTGTAGGTGGCAATGGGAAAGATGRAAACAGTCTTGCCCTGGTGCTACTCTTCCTTGAAAATCTGATGTTTCTTTGYCCGATATTTGAATCTCTGCAACAGATGGTTTAATGTTTTCAGAAACAAAACAGCCTTATGGGTGAATGTGTGGATCCTGAGACCTGAAGGCATTTGAGTCTTAACAGCTCCTTTTCCTCTGATCTGTGTTAGTGCGAGGCATGTTGAGTGTGTGGCTTAAAGCTTCCAGGGACTGTTTCCAAGACCTTTAGGACTTCTTGTTTTCGTAGATGTAGTTCCTCACTTCTCATTCAGTCAATTGTTTTTGTATTTTGTGTTTAGTCATTTCATTACGTTCTGTGTTTGAGACCTTATCTCTAATTGCTAAAAATGGCAGTTCTCTCTGCTCTATCCTTTTGTTTACGATGCTTCCTAATTCTTGTAGTGGTTGTGACCTAGGAAAGACCTAGCTTTGCCTCCCTCCGGCTGCGCTCTCTTCCCGCTGTGTCTTCCAAGCTCAGTTGGGTGGTGCTAGTCAGGCCTTGGCTGGGGGAGCTTGCAGGGAAATCCCAGGATGCGCATGGAAATARCTGTGGTGAGTCAGCGGGCTGCTCCGAATTAGGGAATCCAGTGCATTGCGTGACTCCCTCTGAAAGGCAGGAGGAAGGTTGTGCTGCAGCGAGGAGTGTGGCTGTAGTTCCTGCTGCTTCTGTCGTGCTTCCCTTAGCTCCATGTACGCAATCAGAGTTGCTCCGTGTCTGTGACCCCTAGGGCCTTTAGCATATATATAACAGTTAACAGGATGATAAATGCAAACTTGATGATGTCTTGCCATTAGGCACTTACATTCTGTTGTTTTAAAATTTCTCCCGAGTTCCTTGTGGGCAGAGCCTTGTCTGGGAAGGAGAAGTGTTAGCCTGTACTGTTTGGTGGTCGGCTTTGGTTGTAGCTGGTGAAATGGTTCTTTAATATGGAGAATTCAGCACAGAGCTCTGGTTAGGAATATATTTCTTCAATCCAGAGTTGTGATCCAGAATTGAAGTTTTCTTTAAAGGGGAAAAAAAGTTTTTAGTCCTCTATGGTTTGGAGATGGATCAGTGGAGAACAGCAGCGTGGGAAGCAGGAAAACAGTGTTTCTCCCAATATGCCAGTGCTCTGAAACAGTGAGCTCAAA